CCACGGGCGACGCCACGCGGGGCGGGGATATGGAGCGGAATAGCGGGGAACGGAATAAACATGAGGGGGCGCGGGGCTTTGGGGCGGGGTGGCGCGCAGCGCGGGGGGCGCAGGCGCGGGCGGCGGCGTCGAGAGCTCGAGAAGGAGACGACGCGGGAGAGGCGGAGGGCGCTCCGCAGGTGGCTGCGGGGGGGAAGGCGGCGGCGCTCATCGTGCAGAGGTGGAACAGAGGGCTTGTTCATGGCGGGCTGAGCGCAGGTCGTCAGCGTCGCGGAGATGGTGGCCGATCGGGCGCCGCTGCAGGATTTTGCGGCCCCTGGGAGGGGCGGGAAGACGCGCCGGAGACGCGCCGAGATGCAGCCGCTCTCGCGGGCCCTGCGCGGCGGCCCAGGGACTGGGGAGAGCGTCGTCATGGGCGAGGTCTGGAAGGAGTTGTTCGAGATGGAGATGAGGTGGGCGCGCGGCGTCGACTTCCAGGCAACAGCTCCGCAGGCGACGGGCGCGCCGTCCCTCCACGGAAATGCGATCCATAGCGCGCGTGGCCGGATGCGACGAAGACGAAGGAGTAGAGATTCGATAGGAGCGCAGACTCAAAGACGGAGATTCAGGAAATGGCAGCGCAGCGAATTTCACAATGGAAGTGGCTGATCATCGGCAAGATTGGCATCTTGCAGAGCTCGGCTCGCATTTTCGATCGCGCGCGTCGGCGGCGTGCGATGCGAAGGTAGGATAGGGGCGACGTGTTACGCCCTGGGCGTTCAAACGCGCGAACGCGTTTGCAGGGATTTCTATCAGCTGGGGCCGCCGTCCGGGGCGCGCAATCAATCCGCTCGCTGCCCACGTCGCATTTGGAAAATGCGAGGAAGTGCGCGCCAGGTGCCGCCCAGGACCGCGGGCAGCGTATCTTTTCGGGAGTTGGGGGCGATGGGGCAGCGCAGGGAGTGGCGGGGGCGACGGAGTGCAAGCCCGCAGATGACCAGGGCGAGCGCTTCCTCGGAGTTTCGCCGAGATGCGAGTTTCGCCGACATGCGCTGGCAGAGCGAAATGGCGATTTCTCGCGCGGCGCGGCAGAGGATGCCCCGTGGTCGCGGAGGAACGGCGCGGCGCAGCGCGGCGACGTTCGTTGCCGAGAGAACGCGGAGGCCACTGCCGCGCATCGCGGGCTGGCATGCCAGGTTTGCCAAGTTGGCGAGAGAGGGGGGACCTCGTCGCCGGAGGGCGCGCGGTATCGCGAGGGGGGATTTGTCGAGGCCGTCGCGATTTATGCCAATCGGGACAGCAAGTGCCGCGTCGGGTAGCAGGGGGCCGCGCGGCGGGCGAAGGGGCGAGGGGGGCCGCTGCTCTGGGTAGCAGCCAGAGACGGCCCGTGCCATGGGGGGGAACAGATGTGGCCGTGCACGGTGGAGGACAGACTACGGTGGTTGAACGAGTGCGCAAGCTTGCTGGGGCGGCGGCGAAAGGCGCGCCCGTTGCCTTTGGAGATCGCCAATGTCGGTAGAAGAAGCAGTTTCCGCGGGGGCGCGCGGCGAGGATTCGTGGGTGGGCGATGTGCGAGGGCGAGGTCGTGGGAGATGCAGACGAGGAGGCACTGTTGCATTTGCCCAGGGGCGTCGCGCTGGACACTCGCGCGTAGGACTGGCACCTCCCAGGTTTGGGGCCTGGGCTATCATTTTCCCATCGAAAGGGCGCGATTCTTTCGCGGGCGGATGTCGGATTCGCCCCGCGCTGGGTGCGAGGCGCGCGCAGTTCATGATCGCCCTGTCGCCGGGGGCGACGGCGCGCGCCGCGCAGGGGTGGGCCGCGGGGGCAGCGATGGCTGACCTTCGAAGAGGGCGCGGTGCAAGTTGGACGTCAAGTCGCGTCGCCCTTGCGCGCGCGCGGCGGCGAGAGCCATCTCGTGATGTTCCTGCCGTTCGACGGCGGGGGGCCCGCGACGAAGGCGAGGTGGCCGGCGCGAAGGCGCTGTTGCAGGTGCTCCGAGGGGGGGGGGGGCGTGCTGGGAAAAGTGGGGGGCTCTGCTGGCGCCGCGAGACGCGCGCGAGCGGGTCCAGCGGCGGCTGCTGGTAGAAGCTTCCGCGAAGTATGAGTTTCATAGGAGGGGCAGGCAGGGGGCGCGACGTTCGAACGCAACGCGCTGGCGCTTAGCGGCGCAGCTGCGGAAGCGACGAAGCACCAGACGGAAGCCAAAGGCAGTGGTGCACATTTTGTTGGGCGCGCGCGGATAAAGACGAGAAAAACGGCGCGTGGGGCGAATGCCGAGGCGGCGAACGGAAAGACAAAACCAGTCCGGGAGCGAGTCCGCTGACGCGGCGCACGCGCGGTCGCGGGAATGCTTCCTGGGGCGCGAGGCACGCGGGGCCCTATCAGCACGAGGGGCATCGGAGAAGACAGAAGCACCAGAGTGGAGACCGGGGACTAACAGGCGCGGCGCACTCGCGAACGGGGTAGCCGAAACGACGAAACGATCTGGGCGCGAACTGACGCGCGCGGCGTGCGGGGGAGCCTGTCGCAGACGCGGAACATCTGAAGACGGGGAAAGTGCAATGACAACGAAAGAAGAAACATATTCGCGTGACGCACGCGGATTGCGCGCGCCTTGGTTTTGCAGCGCGCAGTTTGCAGGCCGACCGATGCAATGGCAAGTGCCAGGATGAATTGCTCAAGTCGGCCTTCGCCGTGGACAGTAGCAATGTCGCGCGTCGCGAGAAGCAGGGCACCCTGAAGTGCAAGGCGCGCGCGTGATGCGCATTCGGCCGCCCGCGCCGTGGTCCGTAAAAGTAGGACCAGCGGGGGAGAAAACGGTGGGGGGGGGTCGGACCCGATGAGAAGGGGGGAGCAGAGAAGGAGAAAACGGAAGGGGAGGAGGAGGAGGAGGAGGAGGAGGAGGAGGAGGAGGAGGTGGAGGAGGAGGAGGAGGGGGAGGGGGAGGAGGAGGAGGAGGAGGAGGAGAGGAGGAGGAGGCAAGGAGGAGGAACAGGGGGAGGAGGAGGGGAGGAGGGCGAGGAGGAGGGGGAGGATGAAGAGGACGACGGGGGGCTAGGGGAGAGGCTGGAGGGGGGCGAGACGGAGGAGGAAGAGGAATGGGGAGTGGAAGAGAAAGAGGAGGACGAGGAGGAGGAGGAGGAGGAGGAGGAGGAGGAGGAGGAGGAGAAGAAAAAGGAGAAATGACGATTTGGGTTTGGGGCCTTAACGCTGGCCTCTGGCGGCCGTTCGGGACGAGCCCGGCACCCGCGGAAACGTGTTTCCACTTCGAATTTGGAGACCGTGCGCGGACGTTTGGATCGTGAAGTTAGTCGTCGCTGTCGGTCCAGTGCGACTTGGTCTGGCGTCAGGATCTCATGGGTGATTCTTGGGAGCGCTCTCGGGGAATTTGCGGGGGGCATTGTCAAAACTTGTGGGATGCTTCGTGTGTCGGTGTAGTTTCCGCTGCTGGTTTTCGAAGTGTTCGCCGTGCGGGTATGGGCACCAGCAAGCGGAAACCCACGGTCATTGTTGGCAAACATATGTCAACACACCAGAGGAGTGGTTGTGGAAGGGCTATCGGTTCAGCCCGCCACCGTTTCTGGGTGGTGGATCTGAGGCCACAGGTGGCCGAAAGGGTCTCGTGGGAACCATCTCGGGTTACGTCGTGGGGGCACGTTTTCGGCCTCTCGGGGTTCTCGTCCGGGCCTTATGGGAGCGTTGTGGGTCCCTCTTGGGGCTCCCGGGGGCCTCTTCGTGGGGGTTTCTGGTGGCAGCGTTGGGGCGTTTTGGGGCCGAAGGTTGGGTGAGTACCCTTCGGGGCCCCCCTCTTGGGGCCGTGATGATGGGTTGTCTTGGGGGCTTGTTGGGCCGTCTGGAGGCCCGTTCTGAGCTTCTCGGGGGGCCCCTTGGGCTGTCTGGGGGTGATCTTGAAGGTCTTTTGGGTCATTTTGGATTGTTTGAGCGCCGAAGAGGCGAATACAGTTTACACAAACGTTTTTCCAGAGGAACGTGGTGATGTTGGATTTTGGTGGCCCTTTTGGGGCGCCTCTTGGGCGTCTTGGAGCGATCGTTCGGCGACTCGTGGCCCTCTTGGACCGTCTGGGGGGCCTCTTCGGGCCCTCGTGGCCCGTTTTGGAGCCCTCTGCTTCCCCATGGCGCGGTCGTCCTGAGGTCGCCCTGGGCCCGGGGGGGAGGGTCAACATTCCAGTTTGGTGTCCTGGGGGGTGATTACAGGGGGGGGGGACGACTCACACGCCTAGAGACCACAAGGGGTCGGCGGATTGCGACTTGTTGGTCACGGGAGGAAGAGTCTCAATCTTGTTTCACGCTCTGGGGACTTATCCCACGTTTGGAACAGCGCCGACGACCATAAGGTGTATGCAATTAGGCGAAGGGATTGTCCCAAATCGTACGCGCCAATGCTGTTCCCAAGTTGTGGGCCGTCCAGTTTCACAATGTATTTTTTTTGTGGTTTCCAAGCGTGCGTTGTGCCGTTTGCAATTGTCTTGGTTTGGCCATGATGCGTTACATTCGTCATGTTCTGGGGGGTTGATTTGTCAGCTGTTGTATTCCTCGAGGTTCGTTTTCGGCTGCGTGCGCGCGATCACACATGTCGTTTCGGTGATCTGCGAGCTCAGGGCACGCCATGCGTGTGTGTAGAATCACGTGATGTCGCTTCGCGATGACTCTGAGTGCTATGAATCCCCATGTTGTTCTCCCTCCTCCCTGTTCTCTCCCTCCAACCCTCCTCCCATCCTCACTTCTCCACGGTTCTGCTGTGCCTCGTCGCCCCATCATTCCTTTCCCCCGGGCCCCACTCCCCTCCTCCCCCGTTCCTCCCGTCTGCCTTCTCTGGCCGCACGGGTGGCCTTCCACCCCTCTCCCTCCCTGCCCCCCCCCCCTTTCTCATGATCCCCTTGCCCCTTTTCACCATCCATTCCTTCTCTCCTGCGATCTTCCTCGCACCATCGCCCCTCTCATCTCCCAAGTTCCCCCCCCCCCGTCGGCCCTCCACCTCCACCCTTTTCCCCATGCAGGTATCCAACCTCACGGGCGGCACAGCATCAGGGTGGTCGTGAACACGGCACGGAGATTGCGAAGGAGGCGCTCCTACATGGGAGGAGGAGGAGGAGGGAGGAGGAGGAGGACGAGGAGAAGGAGGGAGGAGGAGGATGAGGAGGAGGAGGAGGATGCGAAGGAGGGAGGAGGAGGAGGGGGAGGAGGTGGAGGAGGAGGAGGAGGAGGAGAAGGAGGCGCTCCTACATGGGAGGAGGAGAAGGAGGAAGAAGGGAGGAGGAGGAGGAGGACGAGGAGGAGCAGGAAGAGGCAGGGGGGAATATTGGGAGCAGAGGGAGGATCGTGAACGAAGAGGCGGAGTATGGCCAGAAGGGGCCGTTTGGGGACTGGATGGGGGCGGCTAGCTGGGAGATGCGGGGCAGGAGTGAGTGGGGAGCAGGAGGAGGAACGAGAGATGCGGAATGTGGGATGGGAGGTGGAAGTTAGTTGGAGGAGGATGGTGGTTGTTTCTGCTTCGGTCCTTCGTATAGAAGCATCCGATGACATTTGTGGCGACGTTCAAACGAAACAGTGTTTGTGCAACAACCACGAGCGCTGCACGTTTGTCAGCAAACGCCTGGGAATACCACACCAATGTAACCCTCAAATCGATGGGCGTCCTCGACTTCGGCGCCCGCTGTGCCGCATACGTCCTCCACGTCCACAGTTGCCCTGGGCAACTGACCGTGTCTTCGACCTCTGTGCATGACCCATGGCACGCGTTAGATTCATGAAGCTATTAAGAATCCCCCCCCTTTCCGGTGAAACGATAACGCGTGCAGCACTCGGAAATGTTATCATGGCACCCTGGCACCTGGTCGCTGCTCAGCACGCCTCTGGAGCCCCCGGCAGTGGCGACGAGGAGGGAGAGGAGGAGGGGGACGAGGAGGAAGAGGAGGAGGAGGACGTGGAAGGGGGAGGAGGATGATGAGGAGGAGGACGAGGGAGGAGGAGGCGGATGATGAGGCGGAGGAGTGTTACCAGTATTCTTACTTGTTCCCCCAGCAGTGCTACCAGTACTTGCGGACGGGAAGTATTGTTATTCAAGCGGATGTCTAAGTACAATTGCGATTACTACTGCTACTGCTACTGCTACTGCTACTGCTACTACTACTACTACTGCTACTACTACTTCTACTACCTTTTACTACTACCACTACTACTTTTACCACTACTACTACTACTACTACTATTACTACTACTACTACTACTACTACGACTACGACTACTACTACTACTCCTACTACTATTACTATTACTATTACTATTACTATTAACATTACTATTACTATTACTACGACTACTACTACTACTACTATTACTACTACTACTACTACTACGACTACTACTACTACTGCTAATACTGCTACCACTACTACTACTACCACCACTACTACTACTACTACTACTACGACTACTACTACTACTACTGCTACTACTACTACTTATGCTACTACTACTTTTTCTTCTACTACTACTACTACTACTACGACTACTACTACTACTACGACTACTACTACTACTTCTACTTCTACTTCTACGTCTACTACTACTGCTACTGCTACTGCTACTGCTACTGCTACTGCTACTACTACTACTACTACTACTACTACTACTACTACTAGTACTACTACTTCTACTACTACTACTACTACTACTACCATTACTTCTACTACTACCACTACGACCGCTACACATAATTCTTTTAGTTTCACGGCAACTACTACTACTACTACTACTACGACTACGACGACTACGACTACGACTACTACTACTACTACTACTACTACGAATTCGACTACTACTACTATTACTACTACTACTACTACCACTACTACTACTACTACTACTACTACCATTACCATTACCATTACTACTACTACTACTACTACTATACTACTACCACTACTACTACTACTACTACTACCACTACTACTACTACTACTACTACTACTACTACTACTACTACTACTACTACTACTACTACTATTACGACTACTACTACTACTGCTGCTGCTGCTGCTACTATTGTATTGGCCTCCGGCCAGTGCCGCCGATCCGGGGCGCTCCTGATGCTATTGTTGTTGAAATGGACGATGACGACGACAACGGGCGACCAACGGTCGACGAGCGGGATAATTACGGCGACGACTGACGCAGGAGTTAATGACGACGAGTTGACGACGACGACGACGACCACTGACGGCGAACGACGGCCGACGACCGAGCCTCTCTGCCCTGGCCATCCGACGGTGCCGCCTCCGCGCGGCCCCCAGACGCCCCTGGCGCGCCGTGGACGAGCGAGCTTCAGCGGCCGCGGGCCGCCACGCCGGCGCCGGCGCCGCGATCTTCTTCGTGCAGGGCGCCGGCGCCCTCGCCGAGCCCACGTGCGCTCCGCACCGCGGGCATGACGCCGGTAGCATTAAGTCGGGCGCGTCCCTCTATCGGGTATGGCCAGGACCCCGGGTAAGGGGACCCGGTTGGTGGTAGGGCCTTGGGGCCCCTCAAGTGGCCAGCTTCACTAAACCAGGTTTGCCGTAGCTGGTGTTTGTGGGGTGACGGCAGTTCCGGTTAATGGAAATGGAGCGGGGGGGCGCCCCTGGTACAGATCATTAAACCAGGTTCCTTCAAACCCAGTTCTGCCAACGCCCGACTCCTACTCAGGGGCGATAAAGAGGGAGGTGATGACTAGGGGGGGTGGACATCATGGCCGGGGCCATGGTATTTCCTCAGATGTCATGGCGCCGGTCATGATTTGCGCCCCCCCCTCTTTGACGCCCCCCTCTTGGCCGCCCCCGATCTACAGGAGGAAGATTCAAACATAGTCTTGAAATGGTCTGGGGACGATTCTTTTGTTCGTGCCTGTTGTAACCATATCTGTGATCATGCATTGTGGCCATGTTTGATTCCTGTGCCCTCCAAGATCCGCCTGTATAGGAGGACATGCCCGACCCCGTGGAAGCGAGCGAGCTTCCACGGCCTCCCCGCGGGGGGCGCCGCGTCGCCCCGGGGGGCTCGCGGCCTCCCCTGCAGGGGGCGGCGGGGGCCGCGGGCGTCGTGCGCGGCAGCGGCCGGCGTGGCCGGGGCAGCGCCACCGGCGAGGCCATCGGGGCCTCGGCTTGTGCCTGCGGCGAGGAGGGCCGCGGCCGTCGTCGTCGCCGTCGCCGCCGCCGCGGGGTCTTCGCTGTCGGAGGCCTCGTCGCCGGTCTCGTGCCCTTCGTCCTCTTCTCATTCATCGTCCTCCTCCTCCTCCTCCTCCTGGGGGGTGTTGGGTGCTCGCCCTGTCTCTCTCTCTCTCTCTCCTTCCATCTCTCTCCTTGTCTCTCCAGCTCTCCCTCTATCTCTTTTTGCGGTTTGTTTGTTAGATTGCTCCTTCTTTTCTCTCTTCCCTCTTTGTGCCTCTTTTCGGTAGATTGTTGATGTGTTTGTTTGTTATGTTTTTTTTGTGCTGTCTCTTTCTCTCTCTCTCTCTCTTGCTGTGTGACTTTCTCCCGTAATCGTTAATCTCCGAGCGTCGGGTTATTGCCCCGAGCTCGTCGCCGCCCCCAGCCGTCGTGGTCCTCGTCGTTGTCCTTGTCGAGGTCGTCGTCGTCGACGTGATCTTCGTCGTCGTCGTCGCGCCCTCCTCTTCCTCGACGTGGTCTTTGTCGTCGTCCTCGACGTGGTCGTCGTCGTCGTCGTCGCGCCCTCCTCCTCTTCGTCGTCGTCGTAATCGTCCGTGCCACCGTCGCGCCCTGCTTCCTCTTCCCTCCACCCATTCCCCTCCCTTGGCGCGTCCAATCGGTTCCCGGAGATTTGTCGTAGACTCTATCATTATCATGTCCTCCCTCCTCTTCCACGCCATCGCGGTCGTGACGGGAAATCATGTGCCCTCGAGGAGTGTGGTCTCGTTTGCCCTTGCCCAGTCCTGGGCAAGGGCAGAGACCATTTCTTTATTGCTTGGGGCATGATTGGCGTCATGGCCCCCGCCCCCCCCCCTATGACGTAACGCTCCCCCCCCAGTGCACTCCGGGCACTGCTGCCGTGCGTATTTGGATCCGCGTAGGTGTCCGCGTAGGAATCCGCAGTGAAGTCTGGTCCGCAGTCGTCGTCGTCGGCGTCGTCGTCGTGATCGTCGCCGTCGTCGTCATCGTCGTCGTCGTCGTCGTCTTCACTCGTGGCTCGTGGCTCGTGGCTCGTCGCTTTTCGCTCATCGTTGTCGCGCGGACGTGGGTGGAGCCTATTTTTTTCCGGGACGATGACGGCAATCATTTGGGGGGGGGTGGAGGGGGTCGATGACGTCACGCTTCGCGCTGGCGACGCCTGGGAATGCTTAGGAATGACGGAGGACGGGTGGCACCAGCATGTAGGTGGCGATCTGCACCACAACGCCTGTGTACACCTCAGTGCCTGCGTGCACCACAGCGCCTGTGTACACCACACCGCCAATGTACACCACAGCAGCCGCGTGCAACACAGCGTCAGTTTGTGCCACCGCGCGCGGGCACAACAGGTCTTGTGTACACCACAGCGCTTGTGTACACCACATCAGCCGTGTGCAACACAGCACCACTGTTGTATGTAGAAGGAGTCATTCTGACAAAATGGAGCGTTTGTGGAGTCCACCGGAAACAATAGAAAATAATCTTTATGGACAAGGGAGCGCCAGGAGAATCTACGGGTCCTTCCCAATTCGCCCGCATCACCGTAACTCCTCCCGTCTGCGTCCAGGAGGCTCCAGCTAAATTTGCCGTCCGAAAACCAAGTGGGCCGATTCAGTGGACTGCACGCTGAGTTGCGCACGTGCGCTGTAGCGCCAACCCGCACGACAGGGGGTAAGGAGAAGGAGGAGGAAGAGGAGGAGGAGGAGGAGGAGGGAGGAAGATATTAAGGAGGAGGAGGAGGTGGATGTAGAGGAGAAGGGAAGAGGGAAAAACGTCGCACCCGATTATCAGCACTTTCCTGGCTGTGCGCATCCGCAGCAGATCCTCACGTACAGGCCCCTTCTAATTGTCCTATGCACGCAGGCGCTGTGGTGTACTATAGCGTTGCGTTGCACGTGGATGCTGTGGTGTAGACAGGCGCTGGCACAGGCGCCGCGGTGCACGTAAGCACTGTGGTGTACACAGCGTACACAGGCGCTGTGTTGCACATGGGTGCCTCCGGTGTGCACATGTACACCGGCGCTGTAGTGTACTCAAGCACTGCAGTGTACACAGGCGCTGCGTCGCAAACGGTTTTGCGATGCACGCAGGCGTTGTGTTGTACACGCGCGCTGTGGTGCACGCGAGCGCTGTGGTGTACACAGGCGCAGGGGGGCAGATCGCCACCCACATGCTGCTCGCGTCGTCGTCGTCGTCGTCGTCGGCGCTTGTCGCTCGTCGCGTCGTGCGCGCGGGCGCGGCTGTGGTGCCGGAGCCACACGGCGGGTGGGGGGGACGTTACGTCATACCCCCCCCGCCCCCCCCCCAATTAACGCCCGTCATCGCCGAACATATAGAAACGCTCTCCTATTGAAGCTCGTTTTGGAGATTTAAGTGGCTGATGGAGGCGGTCAGCTGGCAACGTGGGTGTGGACGATTCGGCGGGTACCAGCTGCAGGTCGGGAGGAAAGCAGATACTGGTCAAGAGGGCGTCAGGAGACCCCACCTCAAAAGGAATACGCGTCCTTGCGGGACCACTTCGGCAGGAAAGCTCTTATGGTTGTTGTTTCTGTCCGGCCCCCTGCCTACATACGATTCGGAAGTGGTAGGCATGGCTGACACTGGGATGCTTCAGCTCATCCTAAAGGCATTGCAAGGAGATGTGGCTGCACAGGTCCAGGCTTCTTCGTGGATGCCTGGGCTCGCCTTCCGTTCGGTGTTTTCGGGAGACGGTTTCGGGGAACCTGCCAGGTTGGCCAAGCGTTCCTGGGAGTTTGTGTTCGGGCCCAACGTCGGCCATGGCTTCATCTCTTTGCCGGATCCAGTGGTCCATGTTTTTTTGTTCATATCAATCTATCAAAGACAACCGAGTTATCCCCGTGCCCGAGAGAATAAGCCCGCGGCGGTTGTAAAGTTCGAGGTCCTTGGACGATAGAAAGTTGTTCTTGGAGACATCGATGTTGGGGTGTCTGGGTCGGTGCTGGACGGAGGAGGAGGAGGACGGAGGCGGAGAGGAGGAGGCGGAGGGAGGAGAGGAGGAAGAGGAGGAGGAGGAGGCGGAGGAGGCGGAAAGGTGTTTGATGTTAGGAGCAGGGGGGACGCGAGGAGGAGCAGGAGGAGCAGAAGGAGGGAGGAGGAGGAACAGGAGGAGGAGGAGGGAGGAGGAGGAGGATTTCCAGACACAAGACAAAGTTTTGGACCTATCGTATTCTATGTTTCAAGCTCCACAAATCGTGATGGTGTTCAACTCGTCGTGTATGGCTGTTCATGGCCGTTTTTTTTTGCAATTAGGGACAACAAAGTTCGTGCCGGGGGCGGATGAAGGATAAATGAACGGAAGACAGAGGAGAGAAGAGAAGCATGTGATTGGAATTTGGCTTGGGGATAGTCAATTTCGGCCTTCCTGCCTCCCCGCCTATTGTGCCATATACAGGCTGCAGAGAATAAACATCGACGAACCCAGGGCGGGACTAATCATTATCACGGGCACGGATTTATCGACATGTTCTGTACACTGTTGCGCCCTACGCTCATCAAGTTTCTTCGGCACGCTGCATTCCCAAGAATTCTTGAGGATCGCCCTTCAGAAGCTTGATCAAGAAGGGATATTCGTCGTCGTGGACTGTACAGGAATCGGCCGGGTTTGCCGCAAGGTTAGCTGGTGTAGACGGTCAGGCCGATAAAAGTCTCTTAGGTTTCTTTGCCGATCCAATCATGAACGCCGTGAAGTCCAGGTTTTCTCCGTACGAAAACGTTTGTACCCGATCGCCAGCAACCAATGCTTCTTTAACCCAGTCGCACGCTGCAGTCAAGGGATATCACGTCGACGAGCTTTGTGCCGTGCGCCGTCGCAAAAAGGACCCCATTTTCCTCCGTATTTGGGATTGTTCAGCGTGCGATGAACAAACGAACGAGCGGACAGACGGTCCGCTCCACCAGAAGGCTTTTTGAGGCAGTATTGGAGTTTTCGCCGGACATCATCGCGTTTCTCATTGTAGCCTGTCCCTGACTCAGGTGACTTCGTGCCTGGCGCCATTTAGCAACACGGCATGGATCACGTTCTCCTGGAGGCCCCGATGGTGTTTTCAGAGAGGAGGCATGCAGTCATCGAACTCCACGGATTTGTTTTGTCCCGCGCATGTTTTCTCACACGAAAGTTTTGATAAGTCGGCGGTCAGGGAAGTCTCTCGGGCTGGTTGGCCTCGAACGGAGGGTAACTCATTGGTATCGTGTTATGATCCTGTCTGGTCTAATTCCCCCTGGTGGCGCCCTGGCCGCCGCAGGCACTAACCTAGACCAAGGAGCTGTGTCGTATTCGGATCGTGCCAGTGTCCGTTCGGCGTTGTCCCGCGCCTCCCGGGGCCGTCTCTTTGGCAAGAG